TTGCTTTCTTGCTCTCAAGGCCATGCAAGCTGTGTAGCATTGACACAAATATTTCATTAGTGCCAATTTGCTTAATTTAAGATAAGTTCAAATCCCCAGCTTTCAATTGAGTACTCTTCTTGGAACAGGTCTGTAAATGAAGTGATCTGTCATGGTATTCCTGACACGCGCCCATTGGAGGATGGGGATCTCTTAAACAGTAAGTTGCCACTGAATTTTCTTTTTTAATGTCTGTACTTTACCAGTTATTAATGGTGAACAATAGTCAACAAGGCTAGATACTACACTTTATGATAACTATTGGAGTGCTGTTATTCATGAATGGATAAACACTTAACATGTACCATGGACAGATACATTAGTACAGTTATGAAAACTGTTTTATGGAGCAAACTCAATGACACAAAATACTTTTTTGTGCTTGGAAGTTAAAGTTAAGACCCTTTTCTTTCCAAACTTTAAGTGTGATGAATGACACTTGAAAGTGCTTGCTTCATGCTAACTATGATTTTGAAATCTACTCAATTTTTGTTTTGTAGTCGACATCACCATTTATTACAACGGTTTCCATGGAGATCTGAATGAGACATTCTCTATTGGTGAAGACAGAGGACAGCAAACAGTTAGTGAAGGTTACACATGAGTGTTTAAGTCAGGCTATAGCATCAGGTAATGTGATAGATATCCTTAGTATTAAATAAGGCTAATTCATTATATAAAAGTTCCAATATTGAGTGCGTTTTGTCATGAAGTCCCATATGGTGATGATAACTGTTCAGGTCAAACTTGTGATGTGAGATTGGAACTTCACTCCATACTAACAACATTTTATAATGAACAACTCAAAAGATATTTCATTAAAAAAATAAACAATCAGGGAAAAACAGTGGGCATTCCCCTCTTTGTCTCTCTATAAATCCTTTCAGAGATGTATTTGTAACGAGAGGAAATAGATAGCCACCTAACACTTAAATTGTTGTCAAGTGTATGGAAACCCACAACATTATTTTTTTTTTCAATTGCTTTTCATTGGTTTTGCCAGTCATCCTTGTGACCAAAAGATTGGTCAGTAATGACGTCTGTTGTAATTGATGGAATTTGACTCTGTACATTGAGAAAGATATTGTGTGCTTGAAGTTCTAAAATGAAGACAAATGGAAGCACTTTAGTGTCAACAATGAAACAGATGGCAACAGTCATGTTAGCAATTACAGTGTTGATTATAATCCTGTTCTGTATCTTGGTGAAGCCTGGTGTGAAATACAGAGAGATTGGTAACATCATTCAGAAGTATGCCCAAGCTCATGGCTATGCTGTTGTGAAGAGTTTTTGTGGCCATGGGATTC